ACCTCTGAACACACCAAGAATGAGGCCTGAACATTTAAACCAGACTAGATGGCTACTCTCAGTCTGCTGGAGGAAATAAAGGGAATGGGATGTCTGCCAGGGAGCAGGGGTGCAGCCCAGGCACCTCTGACAGTGCCCCGCTTCTGCAGTTCAAGGTTAAATATCTCGTTTGCACTAATTCCTGAGCCTGCCTCTCTGGAAAGCCATGCCAGGTAATTAGAATCATTATAACTATTATTAGACCATAATATTATTATAGCATTTTTGCTACACTTGACATCTGTTGGCTGATAGACTTAACTGGTACATAAGAAATAACTGTGCATAGATTCCTTGCAAATGAGTACCAACAAGGAAGACATTAAAGCTTTCTGCGTGGAAAAAGTTAATTTTGTGGAAGCATGCTTGAAATAAAACTTCTAAAATTAACAGTTAAACCTTAAAAAATCTCTCATTAAAGAAACTATTTGGGTTTAAAGTAGGCAGCTGTTAAAAAAAAAAAAAATCCTCATTTTCTTTTAGATGCTTAAAGGCATTTACCTGGCTTGGTATCTCCTTTGGATGAAACACAGGCATCTTCCTCCCACCCAGCCCAGTGACCTACAGGTTTCCAAGTCATCCTTCCACCTCCCTTTCCCTATCTCCACAGCAGGCATTTGAATTCTCAGACAAGAAGTCTGACTGTGCAGAATAACCAGGACTCAAACTTGCTGACTGAAAATCCTATTGAATTATCAGCACACACCCCTCTAGAATAAAATACAGCTTTTTGCACCCCACAAAGCCCAACAGGCTTTGCAAACTGGATTCAGGACTTATCCACCACCAAGATTCAGGCATAACCCAGGATGGAACACAACCTTTCTGCCTGTATTTAACTACAGCACACAGCCCTCCCCACCCACCCCCCCAAAAGTACAGATCCAACAGAAACCACAGGAATGCTTCAGGGAAGCTGAACTTTCTCCCCTGGAACTGAAATTGACTCGGGGCACCCACCATCAGCAATGGACCACTAAAGAAGAACAAAGAGGGCACAGCTTCTCCATCCCATTGCTGATGTCCACAAAGAACAGTCGGAGTGAACAACTGTGGCCACCACGTACCTCAAGTTACCAACCTTGAGAAGTGGAAGAGATGAAAACCACAAGGGAACCCTGCATTGTCCTTGAATTCAGTGGGGCCCAAAGTTCACCCCACCGTTACAGCAATGCACAAAGATGGTAGAGGAGGTGGAAAAGCACTTCAGAAAAGGACAGAGCTCTTAAAGCACAAAAAGCTGGACACAGCAGCCTGGTACTTACAGAGCTCAGGGGTGGTCAGAGCTGGTCCTGGTTGGACAGTGATGTTTTCTTCAGCTAAGGTAACTCCTTTTCCTTATCCACACTGAGCCCTGGTGGAAGGAGGTTCCTCTAACTGCTCCCACAGCAACACACTATTTGGGGATAAAAATGAGTGTAAGTAACTTGTCCAGAGCAAGTAACTTTTTACTTTGTCCAGAGCAGAGCAACCACATGAGGAACCTGGAATTCCTTGAGGAGAAACATGTATTTTTACTACCCTAGTCACACACAAACATGCCTATCTCTCACTGAGGCCAGATCTGTGGAGAAACAATGGGGAGCAGGATGTTACGGGCACAAATTGTCCCCATGCATTCCCTCTGCTACCACAGCAGACACCCAGGGAGCTCTCAGTTGATGCTAGTCCTAGTGAGAACTAGCAAGAAGTCCCAGTTACATGAGGCTCTTTAAAAGCTCTTAAAAATCTCCTAAGTCTTCAGAAATGGGGCACAAATCCCCACCTAGAGAGATCTACCCATCACACCTCCAACTGGCACAGTGACATTAAAGCAGACTTTTCACTCTATCCATCCAACACTTTGAAGTAAATCAGAAGAACAAGCTCACCTTAATGAGGTACACTGCTCATTATTAAGCAATAAAACACACAACAAAGCAATTTCCACACACACACTTTAAGGGATCAACGATTCCCTGCCACAACAGGAGAAAACCACACGTACAGGCCCTGAGAGCTCAGTCCAGGTCTGCTTCTATTCATTCTTTTCATTAATGGCATGAGTGATGAAAGATAAAGTCCTTTTATAAAAGCTGAAAGGATGCCCAGCAGTTAAGAGCTGGGAGCACTCCAGAGGTCATGATCAGAATTGACAAACTGAAGAAAAGGTCCAAAAACACCCACGAATCAATAAAAACAAAGAAAACAATGCAAAGAATCACACTTGGAAACAGCAAAACCAAGGATCAAGCACACTAATGCAGCACAGGGGGGAAGCTCTCTAGACAGAAGTGATGCTGAGGAAAATCAGGGACTGGAGTAAAATGCAATGTGGGTCAGCACTGTGACACCAGAGCTCCAAAGAGAACCCCCCCCCCGCAGTCCTGATCCAGCTCTGGGGCAGCAGCACAGGAGGGATGTGGAGCTGCTGGAGCGAGTGCAGAGGAGGCCATGGAGATGCTGCAGGGACTGGAGCAGCTCTGCTCTGGAGCCAGGCTGAGAGAGCTGGGCTGGGTCAGCCCGGAGAAGAGAAGGCTCCTGAAGGGGAGACCTCAGAGCAGCTCCAGTGCCTAAAGGGGCTACAGGAAACCTGGAGAGGGGCTTTGGACAAGGGCCTGTAGGGACAGGCCAAGGGGAATGACTTTAACCTGCCAGAGGGGAGACTGAGATGAGCTCTTAGGCAGAAGCTCTTCCCTGGGAGGGTGCTGAGGCGCTGGCACAGGGTGCCCAGAGAAGCTGTGGCTGCCCCATCCCTGGCAGTGTTCAAGGCCAGGTTGGACACAGGGGCTTGGAGCAACCTCCTCTAGTTTCCCTCTAAAACTGGAGGAGCTGTAAGGTCCCTTCCAACCCAAACCAGGCTGGGATTCTATGATTTAAGAACACAAAATTCCCAGTTCTGCACTGGAAGGCCATGCCCAGCCCTGGGTCTCACCCAGTGTAAAACACACAGCTCCACACAGCTGCTGAGGGGTTTCTCCATCCCTGCTCCTTTCAGGGTCATTACCAGCTCTTGGCATCCAAGAAGGACAACCACCCACTGGGCTTGCCCTTTTATGAAGGCAAGGGACAAAGCAACCAGCTCCATTTGCTGTAAGGGCAAGTTAGACAAGGTGTCAGTCCCTTTTAGGCTGGAATTTCATCAAGTCCCAGAGGGAACTTATCCCCATCTAAATCGGCACTAATACCCACTGCTGCCCCGTCTGAAGCCGATTATCTCCCCTCAAGACAGGGGCACGGACTAGGAGGCTTTTCCAGCCCTGCATTTCATTTTAGCATCCTCCAGCTGGCCACTCCTACACCACTACGGCAGTGACAACTCTGAGCTAAATTAACAGCCTTTTCTCCCCAAAATACAATAGAGCTGCTCATCCTGCCCAAAGGGCACCCACACAGCACTGCAGAATGAGCACAGCCATAACCGCTCCAATTCATATCTTCATTACCCTTCACAAACAAAGTTCTCCAGTTTGATTTGCCACCACACGTGGTGGCAAAGATGCCTTCCCTTGTGCAATAGGGGGAGGGATACTGACCTGGGCTGCTCACAGGGAAGGACAAAGCTCTACCCTTTCCCTCTGACACCCAAACAGCTCTGTGTGATGGCTGCAGCCCGTAAGAGTCATCACCCAGCCAAGCAGGCAAGCCCTCCCTACCCCAGACAGGATAACTTAAGGCAGCACTTGCTGAAAGCAATTGAAATCATTGAAACAAGGCGTTTCGAAGCAAAGGAGAGGTGCTCTGCCTGCACAGCTGATGGCACACACAGAGCAGCACCAAACCCTGAGCAAAGGCTCCGCAAGAAACCCAGCAAAGGAGCAAGAACTACAGATCTTCTACAAAAGCAGGGCTTGGCTTCCAGGGACACTGAAGATTTCCCAGTGCCTCGACAGCTTTTGGGGGCATTTGAGTCAGCACTTTAGAAACAAGCTGCCTTGTGAACCAGAGCCAGAAGAGATCTGACAAAGCCTTCGGTAGCACGCACCGTCTCTTTGCAGGGGGCTGTTTCCCAGAAGATCCCCAGTGCTGTGTCATTTTTCACTGCAGATGCTAAGAATATCTGTGTGCTCATAAGAAATAGTAACCAGCTTTATAGGGAACTTACCAACAAAGCGCTCGACAAACATTAATTAAAGCTGATTCACCTACTTCATGAGTGCAAGTTAAACATCATTGCTCAGAGGGGAAAGCTGAGTGGTTAAGAGAGCCAAGCTGGGTTATAAAAGCCAGGGAGGGCGTCAGTAGCAGAGAGGATTAGCACATAAAAAGGCTGACTATTATCCCTAAATTTATCCCAATAATCCACTGCCTTACAAATACTCCCTGCGTAGCTGAGGTGTGCTTTGAGCCACACCTGCCCAGCCTGACCACAGCCACATGTAAGTATTCATCCACCTCCTTGCCAAGTAAAAGCAGGGAGAGAGGCTGGGGGTGCTGGAGAGGTTTTCAGGTCGTTTATTGCTCAGGACAAAGAGATTCTCAACTATAAAGAGGGAGAAGGCAGCAGCATTAGCACAAGCACTGGCCTTGTGCCACTTTGGGGTGTGGGGATGGAGCTGTGGGTTCAAGGGCTGCTCTGACAGCTCACCAGGAACTGCCGGTTTCCAGCTTATTCCTTTTAAAGGATCATATTTGTAACCCTTCGGATGCAGTAACTATGTGGTCACACGGAACGCAGACACTGCTCTCACCTCCACAGAGAAGTGTCTGGGAAAGTATTTCGGATGCTTTCATCACAGCAATGCCTTGGAGGCTGCTGAAAAACACCAACACCATCCAGGCTGGTCATTTTAAAGCAGGGTTGGGAGGAAAACAGAGGAACAAAGGAAGTCCATCCGTTAATAATGCTACTGCCAGAGCACAAATTAATTCAAGAGGCTCACACAAAGCAGAAACACTGCGGTACCAGGTTCTGTAAATGACAGGGTGTGCCACTGGCTTCTAAGGCCACAGAGACACTTATCTGCACTTAGGTTTCCTACCAGGACTGTGTGCTGGAGCAGCCTCCCCACCCAGACAGCTCTACCCACAGCAATGCCCGTGCAGATTATACTCCTCTGGCAAGCGAATGAAACACTATCAGTGTAAAGTCATACTTTCCGCCTCTAAACCCTATTTGTACTGGGTTAGGTCTAGCAGCAAAACACTGTAAAAATAACTAACTTGCCCCTCAGAAATTGTGTCTGCAGAACCTGTCAGTGTAAACCTCGGCCATCTTGAGAGGTGGGTAGTGTTGATGCTTTGTCAAAGATTACTTCTAACGCAAGCGTTAGGCAACCACAAACACTTGAAGACGATATTCCAAATAGTGTTTATATACAAAATCCCATTTGCTCAGTTTTCACTCCCTGGCTTTGTTTAACATGTAATTTCATTAGCTCCCCGACAAGAGAGCCATATGCAAGCTTGCACAAATACAGCTAAGCAGTTTAAAACTCAACCCTCGTACTACCAAGCACGTACCCTGCAGATAAACCCGCTTTTAACAGTGCAAAACCACACCAGCGGCACCTGGACACGCTCACACCACAGCCACCCGGGTACACAGGGGGCCTGGGGTCACCCGCCCGTGCTCAAGGGGGTCCAAACCGCTCCCGTTTGGTTGAACTCGTGTTTAAACCCGCTCAGCCAAAGGGCCCCCTGTCCGCAGAGCACCCTGCTCCGCACCCTGCCGGCGGGTGCCCACCACAGGGCCCCGGCTGCCGCTCACTCCTAGAACACCGCTGCCAGGCACCTGCCTCCACCGCCCAGCCCTGCCCGGCGCAGGCCGAGCCGCGGCGTCAGGGCGAAGGGGGAACCACCCCAGCAGCAGCAGCGCCCGGGCCGTGCCGCTATGCAGGAGACGGGAGCAGCACCGGCCCCGGCCAGGCCTCACGGCCGGCTCCCCTCGAGGCAGTGGCACCGGCGGGCACGCTCCGCACGGGAGGTGGCGGCACAACCCCTTCACAGCCCAGGCGAGGCGCGGCCCGGCCCCGTGGTGCCAAAGCAGCGCGGCCCCGGCCCGCTCCCGGCCCCCCCCCCACTCACCGCTCCGCACTGCGCAGGTGCCACCCAGCCCCGCCCCATCCGCGCTGGCCTATGCCGATGCCGCGGCCCCGCCCTACCCAATCAGAACTGGTGGATGCTGCGCGGCCCCGCCCCCTGCCGTGCTGTTTCCACACACGCCCCCCACACACAGCGGCCGGAGGGGCCTGGGCCGGGTCCCAGCGCACGGCAGCGGCGCGCCCCGCCCCGCCCGGTCCGGTCCGGTCCGGTCCGGTCCGGTCCTGCCCTGCCCTGCCGGGCAGCCTGCCCCGGCTCGGCCCGCCTGCACCGCTCACAGGTAGCGAGGGGTCAGTGCGCAGCCCCGGCACCCAGCGACCCCCGGACACACCGAGGCTGGAAGCAGAGGGACTGCGCTGGGCGCAGGCCAGAGCGAGCCCGCGGTGCCCTCTGCCTCCTCGCGTCACAGCACCGAGCTGGTTACAGTCGGATGGAAAAGCGTTTCCCACCGGTGACAGCTCCAGAGCCTAAAGGGGAAACCTGGAGAGGGGCTTTGGACAAGGGCCTGTAGGGACAGGCCAAGGGGAATGGCTTTAACCTGCCAGAGGGGAGACTGAGATGAGCTCTTAGGCAGAAGCTCTTCCCTGGGAGGGTGCTGAGGCGCTGGCACAGGGTGCCCAGAGAAGCTGTGGCTGCCCCATCCCTGGCAGTGTTCAAGGCCAGGTTGGACACAGGGGCTTGGAGCAAGCTGCTCCAGCGGAAGGTGTCCCTGCCCGTGGCAGGGGTTGGAACTTGGATGAGCTTTAAGGTCCCTTCAATCCAAACCAATCTGAGATTCTGTGATTCGATGACTGAGTGATGACATTGCAGAAAAAGTAGGAAAGCCACAGCTACACAACCCTTACCCCCATCAGGGCTGGGCTGAGGAGCAGCTGGTGCACCAGGATGCCCATGGGCTCCACTGCATACCAGACAGCATCCAAAACCACCCTGCCAGCCTCCAAATTAAACCTGCAGGGCTTAATTATCTAGCAAAGGCTGCTCAGCAGCAGTAAGTGACAGCTGATGGGATGACATGGAGCAGTGGAAAGCTGCAGCTGTCCCGTAGGCCAGTGTCCCCGTGGCTCTGCTCACCCATGTGCCATGGTCTGCTGCTGCTGGCACCCAACAAGATCCTGGAGCAGGAGATTGATTGTCAGCAAATCTCAGCTTTCATTTCCAGTAAATGAAATGTTCTCAGTCTTTCTAGGTTGGATGTAAACACCTCAAAATTGGAATCTGGAGTCAAAGCCCACGATGCCCATCAGGAGTGCTCCACAGATTTATTGAGGTTTATTATTTTTAGTGGGGCTTATGATTTTTCAGGCAGCTACCTGATATCTGGCAAGTCATAACTCCTGACCTTTGGATGTATGAAAGCACTGCTGTACTCCAGCCTCTTCCTTCTCCTTCCCTCTCAGCTCCTGGAACATCAGCTCAGGATAGGTCTCATCCATCCACCTCTGCTGTGGTCTCCCCAAGGGGGCAGGTGAGCTGGATCCTGCCCTTCCCCTTCTTCTGGCCAAGTGGATCAGCACTGACTGGATGATCAGCCACCTCTCTGAATCCACCATGAGCCGGCTCTGTCAGGCACAGCGGGAGCAGCAATAAAACCCCTCCAGGCACCAAACCCAAGGCTGGCAGTCAGGCAGGGCTGGCCTCTCTGAAGCCCAGAGAAGAGGCTTTTCCCTCTGGTTGCTTTTCCCTCTGGTTGCAGCAGGGCTCCGGCCTCACGGCAGCACCAGGTGGTCTGAGAAGTCTTGCTTTGGGAAAAGCACAGCTGCATCCTCGGGTAATCCCTTCCTAATCCTGCTGTCTGAAACTACTCGCACATCAAAGAGACTAGAAACACGCTCTGCATGTATTATCCTTTGCATATCGAGTTCTTCTGTTTGATCTGTTGGAGCAGAGGATTTTTTCCAAAGGTATTGGAAAAGATGGGTGTGAGAGAGTAATTTGGGGCTGGGAGTAATTTTTCATCAATGTACTTAAAGACAATCACAGCACTAGGAGGGAGGCTTAATTGTGGAGTTGTGCAATTAGTTTTTATGTCACTGCAATTATTCTGTTGGCTACATATAAAGAACATGGCAAAAATGCAGCACTTAATTTTAAATCAAGACTTGATTCTCTTTTAGTAGGTAATTGATGTTGATCACATCACTTAGCAGTGACTATAAAATGTGCTATTTAGATTGTAAAAGGATGGAGAAAAGGGCTAAGAGATAGGTAATTGGTGGATCACAGGCTGCTTTGGTGGGAGGCAGTATTAATCCATCAGACTTCAGCTTGTCTTCGTTTGCAGCCACTTCTGGGCATCACAAGTGGCCCCAAGCATTAACGGGTACAGAGGCGCTGATCCCCACAGCACTGCAGCCAACAGCAGTAACAGATGAATTCAGCTGGTTCCTTGTGTTTAAATACCTTCTTTTAAGGGTGAACATTGCTCAGGGCTTGTCAGCCTTGCATGGGGTAGGATTCAGGGATCATCTCTATGGGGAGAGCATTGCGCCCCGGCATGCCTGTTCTCCTATGCCAGACAGAGACCACAGGCACCACTGCCCAGCTCACACAGGCTGCCTGCAAGCTCAGAGCCACTGGCATCCCAAATACCTGCCACAGGCACCTCAGTCTTCCTTTATTAATAGTGCAGGGCTGTTGAAAAGAGGAAATTTGGAAAGTCGAGGAGGAGAAAGGGGTTATTCCCTGCAAAACAGCACTGGTGCCTTCTCAGCCAAGAGCTTCACAAGGTTAACAGTGAACTAGGCTCAGCTAGGCCAGTCCTGCACCTCAGCAGCAGGGAGAGCTTGGTCCCCCCCAGGCAGGATGATACAAAACTTGCCCTTGCTCAGCACAAGCCAAATTGCTTGAACCACAGTATGATTCATTGTCACAATAAAGCAAATAAAGCTTCTCCTTGCCTTTTAACTGGCCCTAGTTACTTGATTTCAAGGATTGATGCTTCCCAGGCAGGAGCTGGAGGTGAGACAATTGCATTCACTGCAGGGATGGTGCCAAGGGCTGCTTGCTTTTAAAAATGCTTTATCTCACCCATTCTGTGTGCTGGGACATGGGGGCTTCTGTAGAGGCAGTTCTGCCAGATCAACATCAGCCTCTCAATTGGCAGGATGTTGAATCTCACTTGCAGCCTCTCATGACCACCAGCCCACCAGCCCAAATGCATTTTCAGTCAGTGTCTGAAAAACATAAAGAGCTCATCCAAGGGCTTTTGCCATCAATCCCTCGGAGGCTCAGGAACGGTAAATGGGATGTTAGGAGCCAAGGGGCCATCCCTGCCTGTGGGGAGGCTGTGCCAGGGGCAGAGCACCAGTGTGTCCAGGTGAGCTGCTGCCCGTGCAGCAGTGGCACAGCACAGGGCTGGGATCCCGGCGGGTGCCAGTCCCTGATGACTGTCCCCTCCCTCTGGAGCACATCCACAGGAAGCTTGGCCCTGGAGGAGCCCGGGTGTTCAGCTTTGTGGCAAGGGCAGGCTCTGCCTTACGCTGAGAGCCCGGCAGTGCTGTGTGACTCCAGCATTTCATTACAGCTATTAACTACACTGTTCATCACAGCCAAGTGGCTTGCCATAGGCAGGCTTCCCACTGGGCTTCCCTCACTCCTGTTTGATATCAGGTTTGGATTAAATTAGATAAGGCAGCAATGGTGATCAATTCAAATCCACTTTCCTATTAAGCTATGGACAAATGATTTAGGAGGAGATGAGAATAAAGCCTGTAGCAAGAGCAGAGGGACCTGGCAGGTATGTAAGCGGTGTGAAGGGAACATCAAGTTTACAGTGCCACCAGCTCAAGACAGGACCAGGCTGGGACCACGAGGGCAGCAGCATCCCCAGGGACCTCTGCCCTGAGCAGGAGCCTTTCCAGGTGTCCAAGCAAACAGGACCATGCATACAGTCACAGGGCTCAACACTGCAGATTCTTGGAAAGCTCCTGGAAGCTCCCAACCCTGCTGCTCCAGCTATCTTGCCTGGGAGCCACATCCTGTGCTGTCACCTCCTCTACACTGCATTTAAAGCATCCCCACACCACAGCACACACAGGTTTGGGAGCAAGAATAGGGACTATTAGTAAAACACTTCCCATAAGGTAGAAGCAAGGAGACCATAAATCTCAGTGGCACGCACTTAAAGGGGATGGTTATGAACTGTTATTCCCTGCAAAAACAGGCTTTAAATCATCAGCCATCACCAACACCCAGCACTGGATGCTCTGAAGTTGTCCGGCAAAGCCTTCTCAGCTCCTTTCTGCTATGGCACAAGTTGCCATGACCCTCATTACCTGGAGATTGCTCCGCACGAACCACAGCACACTCTGCTGCTCCTCACAATACCTACCAGCATCCAGGGAAACAGCCCTGTAAAACATCAACAAGGCCAAATGTGCCTTGCCCAGGAGCAGCAGGGCCTGCTGGAGACCACAGGGTGAAGCTTTTGGGGAGACTGGGTGGCAAAAAGCAGTGGGTGCTGCCATCCCCAGGTCACCCTGGAGAGCAAACACAAGCCAGAGATGGGCACCCTGTGCCAGCGCCTCAGCACCCTCACAGGGAAGAGCTCCTGCCTAAGAGCTCATCTCAGTCTCCCCTCTGGCAGGTTAAAGCCATTCCCCTTGGCCTGTCCCTACAGGCCCTTGTCCAAAGCCCCTCTCCAGGTTTCCTGCAGCCCCTTTAGGCACTGGAGCTGCTCTGAGGTCTCCCCTTCAGGAGCCTTCTCTTCTTCAGGC